TCGAGGATGCACGCGGAGCAGTCGCCGCCGTAGGACCAGCCGCAGTCGTCCGACACCGCGCCGCCGTAGATGGGCACGCCGTTGAGCGCGACGCCGATCTCGTAGGTCACGCAGCCCGGCCAGTCCGTCGTGGAAGTCGCGAGGATGGGATAGAGCGGGATGTCGAAGTCGTGGTCCTGCTCCGTGGCCTGCGTGCCGTCGCCCTCCTCGCCGACGGCGCCGCAGCCGTCCGTGCCGTCCTTGCCCGTGCACAGGTTGTAGTGGTTCGGGCAGCCGTTGGTCACGACGTTGCGCTTCGCGTAGGTGCCGGACGTGTCGATGGTCGCCGACGCGCCGCACTCGTCGCAGTAGACGTTCGTGGAGTCGTCGGAGCTCGAGTCGCCCGGCGCGCCCGCGGCGGAAGTGACGAGCAGGAGGAGCACGGCTGCCCGCTTTGGCATTCCAATGGCCGCCATCATTGGTCGCTGCGTTCCTCGATTCTATATCGGCCGATAAAAACTGCTCGGTTGAGTGCAACATCGACCCGACCACACGACCCGCGAGCCAAGCTGGGCGCCTGGGCGCCGAGTCTCGAGACCGCGCGCGCGACGAGCAGCGCACGGCGCGCGCGACGCTGAGCGCGCAGCCGAGCATGGCGTCGTCGACGTCGTCGGCGTTCAACGCCGAGTCGAAGCTCTTCCTCCTGCCCCAGGACATGCTGTCGCATGTGTGCGCGCTGTCTTCTCGCAACGACTTGCTCGCATTTCGAGGCACGTCGAGCGCGTGCCGGGACGCGGTCCGTCGCGCCGTCGACGGGCATGACATTGCGAGCTGCAACAGCTTCTTCCCAAGAATGACACGACAACAAGGGCGAGTTCTGGGGATTCCAATTCCCGAAGCGAAAGTGATCAAGGAGATCGAAGCGTTCACGAGCGTGTTTGGCGGAGGATGTCGCAAGCTGAACGCGCACTGCGCTTCTGCAGAGCTGTGCACCGCCTACCGCTCTATCATCGCTGCCAGCAAGGGTCGCCTAGACAACCTTAACCTCACTGGTACTTTTGTGACGGTGGACTTGCTTCTCGAATTTTGTCGAGGGTGTCCGCGGCTGACGAAGCTGAGCGCCAGATATTCTGTTCCACTGATCGAGGCGAACGTCATGGAAGCCGCGGTGAAGGTGGGCCTGATTTGTCCGCTGCTGGATCATGTGGCCCTTCCCGATTTGGAACGTAGTCCTGCCGAAACTTGGGCGATGAACTTTCCGAACCTCAAATGCCTTGAGTTTGGCGCCTTGAGATCGAAGGAGAGCCCAAACCAAGAGGATTGTGAGCGGATCAAGGAGTCCGTGGCGCGCTGTACGCAAGCCACCGAAGCCAATTTTTATATGTGCCGCGTGACACGGCCGTTGATCGAGTGCCTGTTGCGGACCCCGCTGCCTTCACGTCTGACAACGCTCTTGTTTCATATGGAGGCGCGCATCGATCCCGCCCTGATTCTCTTGGCGGTGCAAGGTTGCGATGCACTGCGGGAGTTATCGTTACCTGAGCTGTTCGCCGGCGATCGCCTTTTCTACGAGTCGCTCGCGAGGGCGCGACCGGAGCTCGAGCGCTTAGACTTGGGACTTGGCGCGCGACCGGCGTCTCCCTGGCACGCGCGCGCGCTCACTTTTCGCGCTCGTAGGCAATAGGGCAGACGATGCCTGCGTGAAGCTCGTGTGCGAAGGCTTCCGTCTGAAGCAACTCTCGCTGATGGGGATGCGGTCGCTCACGCCATCCGTCGTCGATCTCATTGTGGCGAGCCCGTCCTCGCAGACGCTCGAGGAGGCCAACCTCTCCTATCTGGATTTCTCGCGATCAGGTCCCTGCTTGCGCATGGTCACTGGCTGTGCCTCGCTTCGGCATCTCAAATGGATTGTCCTGGAAGCGGTCATCCTGGAAGAAAGCGTCGCCGATGCTGAAAATATCGAAGCTACCATAGACATACTCAAAGAGCGCGGCGGGAGCTACCGGTTCAAGTTTGAACCTCTATAGCACGAAGCCCCCATAACAACACTAAAGCCTAGCTCTTACCATCCCGCAGCCCCCGGAGCCGCGCCGCGAGGACCGTGCGCGCGTCGCCCTCGGCGCGCTTGACGCGCGTGTCGAGGCCGCGGTCGTCGCAGAGCTGGCGGAGCTCGCTGACCTTGAGCGCCGAGAACTCGTCGCGGTCGTCGCGGGGCTCGGCCGTCGCCGGCGGTGGCCGCGCCTTCGCGGCCTTGGCGGCCTTGACGATGACGGCCAATTCGCGCTTGAGGTACTCGGTCCGCGCGGCGTCGTCGTCGAGCTTCGCCCAGTCGAAGTAGGGCACGTGGAGCACGCGCCAGCCCAACGCCCGCAACAGCCGCATCTTGAAGCGCGTGCGGCCCGTGGGCACGCGCTTCGCGTTGCGGAAGTAGTGGCGTGGGCCGTCGAATTCGACGGCGACGCGCCACTTCAAAGGCAAGCAGAGCCACGTCCACGGACAACCCGTCGGGCAGTACCAATTCGTGCTCCACGTCCAGCCCCATGCCCTCCAAGCGCTCGGCGACCTCGACCTGGGCCCGGACGGCGACGCGTCGACGTCGGCCAGCGACGCGCGCAACAGCCCGACGAACGCCGGCGGCGCGCGCGCGATCTCCGCCACGAGCCCGCCCATGGTCGTGCCGCGCCGCGCGCCGTACTTGGCGTGGAGCACGACCTGCTGGAGCTGGCGCAGCTCCTCCAAATTGAAGCGCGAGCCGTCGAGCGCGCCGGGGTCCGGCGATTCCCGCGCCTCCTTGACGATGGCCCGCCACAGCAGCAGCAGCAGATCGCCGTCCACGTGGTCCGCGCAGGCGTAGGCCCAGGCCAAATTCGCCAGCTCCTGGGGCGTGAAGCCCGCGGCCTTCAAGTCGCCGCCGTGCTTCGCGCCCAGCTTGAGGATCGCCGCCGCGAAGGCGTCGTACAACCCGGGCGCCGGCACCGCGGCCTTGGCGAAGGCCCAGACCGTGTTCGCCACCTCCTGGGGGTTGAACTCGAAGGCCCGCCGCGCGCCGCCGCTCGGCCGCGCGATCTCGTCGGCGACGGCCTCGAAGACCTCGGGGCAGTACAGTTCCGCCGTCGCGTACGCCCAGACCAGATTCGCCAACCCCTGGGGCCGGAACTCCGCGACGCGCAGCGACACCTGCAGGCCCAACGCCTCGAACAAGGCCTCGTTGCCGTCGGACGCGCCCGCCGAGGCGTAGGCCCATGCTAAATTCGACAGGCCCTGGTTGTTGAAGTCGCGGAGCCGGTGGTCCGCCGAGTCCGCCAAGGCGTCGAAGAGGACCCGGTGCTTCGTCGGCCGGTCGCCGGGCAGCGCCTTGTGGGCCGTCGCGTAGGCCCAGGCCGTGTTCGCGAGTTCTTGCGGCTTGAACTCGTCCGCGCGGCGCGCGACCTCGCGCGCGACGGCGTCGAAGAGGTCCGGCCGCGCGTGGCCCGCCGTCGCGTAGGCCCAGACCGTGTTCGCGAGGTTCTGGGCGATGAAGCGGTCCACGCGCGGCATGGCCGACGCGGCGATGGCGTCGAACAGTGCGGGGTGGTCCCGCCCCGCCGTCGCGTAGGCCCAGGCCGTGTTGCCGAGCTCCTGCGCGTTGAACTCGTCGACCCTTCGCACGGCCGACCGGCCGACGGCCGCGAAGAGCGCGTCGACGGCGTCGGGCGAGCCGCAGCCGCTCTTCGCGAAGGCCCAGCAGATGTTGGCCAGGTTCTGGGGCTGGGTCGCCGGCGCGTCCATGATCCGCGCGGCTTCCGCCGCGGCGCCGTCCCAGAACCGCGGCGTCGCCTCGAACCCGGCCGTCGCCATGGCCCAGCAGACGTTGGCGAGCTCCTGGGGCTTGAAGCCGTCGAGAGGTTCTCCATCGGGCCCGTAAGCCCCCCCGCCGAAGCGCAGGCACGCCTCGTCGCAGAGCTCGGCGAACATCGCGCGCGCCAAGCGGCACGCGGCGTCCTCGCCGTTCTTCGGCGCGCTCCCGACGGCGGGCCCGAGCCGCTTCGCGAAGGCCCAGGCCGTGTTCGCCAGCTCCTGGGCGCTGAAGCGGCTCAGCCGCGGCGTCGCCGACGCCGCCAACGCCGCGAAGAGCTCGGGCTCGTCGAGATTCGCCGTCGCGAACGCCCAGGCGACGTTCGCCAGTTCCTGGGCTTTAAACTCGTCCGCGCGGTGCCGCGCGCCGTTGGCGATGGCGCGCAGGCACGCCGTCGACGTGTCGCGGATCGCCAGCTCCTGGCCGTCGCGCCGCCGCCGCGCCTCGAGCACCGCCGCGTTCTCGCCGCGCGCCGGCCGCCTCAACTTGGCCGCGCCCCACGCCGCGTTCGCCATGGCCCGCGCGTCCCAGGCGGCGCCGTTGGCCTCGAGGCGCAATCGCGTCGTCGACAGGAGGCTCGCGACGCGCGGCGCGTCGGCGACGTAGCCCGCGCGCGGCTGCTTCTTCGCGAGCCAGTTTAAGGCCGTCGCGTAGTTGACCTCGGAAAAGTCGCCGCCGCGCATCTCGAAGAGGTCGAGGATCTGGCCGTGCGTGCCGTCCTGCCGCGCGATCTGCCGGTTGAGCATGATGGCCACCTTGCTCGGCGACCCGACGCGCCCGCCGCCGCGGCCGCCGCCGCGCCCGCGGCCGCCGCGGCCGCCGCGGCCGCCGCGGCCGCCGCGCCCGCGGCCCTCGGCGCGCAGCGCGAGGTTTTGGCGCAGCGGTCCCGCGCATCGAAACCCATCGGCGACCCAAAAGACTAGCAGGCAGGCGACGATGGAACGCGCCATGCGCGCGAACGTCGCTACCATAGCCACTGCAAGTGGCTGCAACCGAGGCACCATTCGATGATGCAGTTCGGCATGGGCAGCTTTTTCATCGTACTCATCGGCCGTCCGCTCGGTATGCTGCGCTGAGCGCGGCTAACAAAAACGCTGCGAAAAACACCGCTACGACAAAAAACGATGGCCGACCTCGACCGCGACGCCGCCCTGCTGCGCAGGCGCGACGCAGCTCTCACCAAAAACGAGCGCATCAACGCGCAGGGCGTCGCCGTCGACGCGCGGTCGCGGACGCCGCTGGGCCTCGTCGTCGCGCGCGTCGTCGGCTTCGAGGGCGGCGGCGGCGGGACGCGGCGCGCGCGGCTCCGCGTCGCGCGCGGCGCGGCGGTCTACGGCGGCGGCGCGCGGACGACGCGCGCGGTCCGCGCCGACGGCGCCGCGACGGGCCTCGGCCGCGCCGTCGCGCTCCTGCGGCGCAGCAAGTCGCGCGACGCGCCGGGCCGCTTTTCCTGGAACCAGGAGTTCCACTTCGCGGCCGTCCCGACTCGCGACGCGGACCTCGCGCTCGAGGTCCTCGACGAGAAGGACGGCGTCGTGGGGTCCGCGCGCGTGCCGCTCGCGGACCTCGCGCAGACCGCGGAGCAGCGCACGTTGATACTTCGAGGCACGGACGCGGTCTTCCTCGAGGTCCGCTTCGAGTACTCCAAGTCCGTCGCCGTCCTTCGCCAGCTCGCGCGCCTCGGCGTCGGCCTCCGGAAGTCGGAGCGCGAGGCCCTCGCCAACGACGCCGCGTTCCTCGCCAAGCCGGAGGCCGGCGCGCCCGAGCCGGCGAAGCCCAAGGTCGAGAAGGTCGAGCGGCGGCCGCGGACGCCCGAGGAGCTCTCGAAGGTCGCGCTGCGGAACTTGTTGCGCGCGCCGGCGACCGTCAAGTCGCACGCCGACGCGCTGCTGTACAAGCGGCGCACCCTCGAGGCGCTCGTCGCGGAGAACGCCGCGTTCGTCAAGGAGGCGCGCGCGCAGGAGGTCCTCGACCGCGTCGCCGGCGTCGCGCTCCCGCGCGACAAGGACGACGCCGGCGCGTTCTCGACCTGGCTCTTCGGGGCGTCGGAAACCTGGCGCCCGCTCGCGCGCCTCGACATCGACGCGGTGCGCGTGCCGAACCTCGGCGAGGACCGGTCCTACCGCGTCGCCGCCGTGTTGACGCGCAAGGACGACCGGGCGTCGACGAAGCGCCTCAAGGCCTATCTCGAAACGCACGGCGCCTCGGACGTGCTCGCCGTGTCGCGGACGCTGTCGGCGGCGGACCTCGCGGCGTCCGCGGCCGTGGCCCTCGCCCTGGCGCCCGTCGCGACGACGCGCGGCTCCGTCGTGCTCGACCTGCTGTCCAGCGACGACGGCGCCAACTGGCGCCGCGACGCGCGGGCGGAGCTCGAGCTCGGCGCGCTCGCGAGCCAGCGGCGCGAGCGCCTCGCCCGGACCCTCGCGGCCGTCGCGTCCTCGGACCACGGCGCCGTGGCGTCGTACTGGGGCGGCGCCGGCGGCGGCGCGGCGGCCTCGTCCATGGAAATCGTCGCGCAGCTCCGGCGGTCGAAGCTCGAGCCCCTGCTGAAGCGCGGCCGCGAGCTCGCCGCTCTGCGGACGCGCGTCGAGAAGGACCTCGGCCGCGTGGCCCTCGGGGACCCGCCCCTCGAGAAGCTCGACGACCTCGCCCTGCCCGACTAAGTTCTCTAGGCCGTGTCCACTCGCCCTGCCGACTGAAAACTAGGCGGTCTCTACGCTCGCGATGCTGCCCCTCTCGTGGTCGTTGATGGCGACCGTGGCCTTGAGCGCGTTCGCGATCGTGTAGTAGAGCACCGCGGCGAAGAAGGGGTAGTGCTTCTGGAGGTAGTAGGCGCGGGACGCGTGCGAGTCGAGGTGCGTCGAGAGGTTGTTGAGCGACGACTGGATGCTCGCGAGGGACCGCCGGTCGACCTGGCTCCGCCGCTGCGTGCCGGCGCGCTTCATCGGCGGCCGCCGGCCGGCCGCGGGCATGGCGACGCCGGCGCCCGCGGGCGGGGCGGCGCCCGTCGCGACGGAGCCCTCGACGTCGCCGGAGAGCGCGCGCATGCGCCGGTCCCAGATCGACGCGCAGGCGAGGTGCGCGAGCTTGAGCACGAGGAAGACGAGCGCGAGCCCCGTGAGGATGTTGCGATGCTTGCGGGGGGACGCGTCGGGCGCGACGACGGGCCGCCCGACGTCGATGGCGTCGAACGCGACGGCCGAGAAGACCTAGGGGTCATCGCCGTGGGAAGTCCCCCGAAAGCGCGCTCCGGGACGCCGCACGGACCGCGAGCGTCGCGACGACCTCGGAGAGGCAGTTGTTGATCGCGAGCATGCGCCACGTGCTCCGGAGCTCGCGCTCGAACTCCTTGCCCTTCTTGCAGGACCGGCACAGGTAGTGCTGCTCGAACTGGCCCTTGACGTCGCCGTCGCGGAACGTGATGTTCACGAACTGCCACGCGAGCAACCCGAAGAAGTAGGGCCGCGGGTACTCGACGGAGATGAAGATGATGTTGAAGAACCTACGGAGCAACGCCGGTGACGATCTTCCATCGTCGCGGACGCTGCGAAGCGCATGTCGAAGGCGAACATGTTGGGAAACGTGAGCACGTCGTTCACGTCCTCGTCGTCGTGGCCGCCGAGGGCCACGTCCGCCAACCGCTTGACGACCTGCAATAAGATCGTCGACGAGCCCCAGTAGACGCTCAGGAAGACCCAGAAGTTCGTGTCCGACGTCGTGAGGTTGTACAGCAGGAGGTCGCCCATGAACAGCGGCATGATCTGGTTGATCCACAGGCACAGCGCGAGCTGCGCCGCGGAGACGCCGTAGCCGGGCGTCGCGCTGCCCGCGCCCGCGCAGGCCGCGACGACGACGCCGCAGCCCAGCACGACCGCCGCGGCGCCGACGCAGCCGCCGATCCAGCCCGGCGCGCCGCACCGCGGCTCCTCGAACGTGCCGAGCTGCACCTGGAGGTGGCAGAGGTGGAGCGCGATGAGGCACACGAGCACGACCGCGGCCCCAGCGTCGGCCTTCGTCGCGACGTTGCCGAGGCGCCGCCGCCGCTCGCGGCCCGCGGTAATCGGGAAGAAGCCGAAGAGCAGGCCGTAGTAGCAGAACGCGTACGCGTTCACCGCCGCGGGCGTCCGCTCGTACTCCGCGACGAGCTTGAGCGCCGTGATCGCCGCGACCGTCCCCGCGGCGCCGGCGACGACGCCGGGGCTCGCGATGCGCTCCTTGGGGAAGAAGAACTGCCAGAGCCACAGATTCATGACGACGTCCGCGGGCGCGGACACGAGGACCGCGAGCTCCTGGGCGTCGGCGCGGTAGGCGGCGAGCACGACGACGCAGACCGCGCAGGACGTGATGTGCTTCGCGAAGCGCGTGCAGAAGTCGCGGACCGCGGACCGGAGCTGGATCGCGTTCCGTTCCGCGTACCGTCGCGCGGCCCAGGCGCAGCGGCGGCCGAGCGACGCGAGCCGGCCGCAGGCGCCGCCGCGCGCGGCCTCGGGGTCCGCGAAGAGGCTCGTCGGCCGCTCGCTGAAGGACGTGGGTCGCGCCGACGCGGCCGTGCCCCGCCGCGGCGCCGCGCCGAAGCGCACGCTCGACGCCGGCGGCTCGACGTCCTCGGCGACCTCGGCGTCCTCGACGTCCTCGGCGTCGCGGCGTAAAGGCGACACCGTCGGCAGCTCCGTCATGCTTGGGTCGGTCTGCACGTGCAGACCTATGAGAGGCAGCCCGTTGGCTCCATCGTGGAGCCGAAGACGTTGCCGAAGACATCAACGACCTCAAGCCACATTTTTTACGAGGTGATCTGGTACTGGTAGGGGCGAAGTTCATTACGCGTGCACGTGGCCGTGGTGACCGACGTGGCGCGCGTGCGTGCGGTGCCCGCCCTGGACGTGCGCGGCGATGCGCTCGGCGAAGGGCAGCGCGAGGCGGGCGTCGACCTGGGCCCAGCGCCAGGGCGGGGTCCCGACCTTGCCCGGCGGGTAGGGCTCGGCGCCCCGGAGCCACGCGCGCGCCGCCGGCGCGAGGCTGTGGGTCTCGATCTTGTTGAGGGTGTCGGCCACGGCGCCGCAGAGGGGCGTCGCGAGGTCGCCCTCGACGACGGCCGCCGGGTCGTCCACGGGCGCGCCCGAGTCGTCGTAGAGGCCCAGCACGGCCAGGTGCTCCGCGAAGAGGGCGTCCATGTGCCCCCGCGCGGCCGAGACGTGCTTGCCGTTGTCCTCGACGACGTGCTCGCTGCCGTGGACCCAGGCCTGGTTCGCCGACGACGCCGCGTGGGGCACGTGGACCGTGAACGCGTCCGGCGCGACGCGGAACGAGTAGTTCGCGCCGCGCAGCGACGCGATCCACTCGATCTTGTTCTTGCCGTAGCCCTCGTAGCGCTCGTCGAAGCGCGGCACGTGGCTCGTCTCGCCCGGCACGCGGCTCGTCTCGAGGCAGCGCGGCACGGCCACGAAGGGCTCGAAGTGGTTGCTGAGGAAGCAGGGCAGCGCCATCGCCGGCTTGGCGGGCCCGTCGCTCGCGGCGTCGCCCGACGCGAGCCACGCGTCGAAGCGCGTCGAGCCGTGGTGGTGGAAGGGCTCGCAGTGGCCGTGGAGCCGCGACGCCGGCCCGCGGCGCTTCCGGTGCGGGGCCGCCGGCGCGGGCACGACGTCGCCGCGCGCGATCTTCTTCCGGTCCGCGTCCGTGACCAAGGCGGGCTGCTTCGCGGTCTTCGTGCAGCCGCGGCCGGGGCGGCACTTGCCGACGACGAACTTCTCGACGTGCTTGAGCGCGCGGCGCGCGTCGGCCTCGCCCGCCGCGAGCGCGCGGCGGGGGCCCCCGTCGACGGCGTCGCCCTCCCAGAGGTGGAGCGTCGGCGGCGTCCACCGCGGCGGCGGCGGCAGCCCGACCGCCGTGCCGTTGGCGAGGCAGCGCACGAGGCCCCGCTTCGTCAGCGGGATGCGCCGCGCGAGCTCGGCGTGCTCCTCGTCCGCGTGGCCGGGCAGGAACTCGTGGGGCTGGAACGCGAACGCGGGGACGACCAAAGCCGTCCGCGGCCCGAAGGACGACCGGGCGATGGCCTGCTCGAGGAAGAACCGCGCGTAGGCCCCGGGCCAGAAGTCGGCGTCCAGCAGGAAGATCCAGGGCGTCGTCGCCTTGGACCAGGCCAGGTTCCGCAGCCGGTTCACGGGGTACTTGTCCTCGGGCTTGCTCACGACGACGGACACGCGGACCTCCGGGCAGGCGGCCATGATGCGCTTCGCGTCCCGCTTGACGGCGCTCGGGTCCTCGTGCTTCACCATCATGCCCAGGCTCAGGGGCCCCTTCCAGCGCTCGCAAATGTGGCCCACGTTCCAGAGGCGGTCCAGCGTCGACTGCGTCACGATGGTCACGTTGCCGTTGGCCGTCGTCGACGGCGCGTCGGGCTCGCAGCCCGGCGGCACGCCGCCGAGCGCCGCGCTCAGCGCGGCCGCGAGGACCGCGGCAGTCCGAAGCGTCATCTCGGATGGGCTGCGGCGTCGTCGTCCATCCTCAATTAATTCGCCACAAGCATGCGAGGTCTCATTGAACTACCTCTTGAAAGGGTCAATAATATTATTGAACATGCTCATGCATTCCTCATCGATGGGCTGGGCCTGAGGCAATGCGCGAGCCGCCGCTGCCCTGGGTTGCAATACTCGGCGCGGCGGTCGCATCGCCGCCGCCAGCGCCGGCGTTTAACGCCACAGCCGCCTTCGCGCGCTTCCTGGCGGTCGAGACATGGTGGTTGGGCCAGGGCGCGGTCCCGGCGCCGCCCTGGTGGACCGTGACCGCGTTCGGCAACCTGTCGGCGCGCGCCGCGCCGACGCTAGACGTGGACACCGCGCCGACGCCAGACGTGGACGCGCTCGACCACGGCAACAGCAAGGACGTCCGGCGCGCCGCGGCGCGCGACGGCGCCGGCGGGGAGGCACCGGTCGTCGTCAAGCGGCCGCGCGGCGCCACGCACGCGCGCTTCTCGGAGACCTACACGGAGCTCTTGTACCTGGAATATTTGCGGGGGCTCCCGGGGATCCCCGCGCTCCACGGCGGCTGGTTCGAGGACGTACCGCCGTCGGCCGAGCTTCGCCACGACCCGAATCATCGGCGGCGGCCGTCGCGGAGGACGAACAGGACGACCGCGCGCGTCGCGTACGTCGTCGGCGACGCGGGCGCGGTGCTGGGGACCGCCCGGGGCCGCGCGGCGCACGACGAATGGGTCCGCTCGACGCCGCTCGACGCCGCGCGCGCGTGGCTGCGCCTCGGCCGATCGTTCGCCGAGGTCGGGGGCTTCCTCCTCGCGGACTTCAAGCCCGGCCAGTTCGCCGTCGACGGCGCGACGGTCGCGCTCGTCGACGCGCCGCGGCCCCGGAGCGGCCCCGTCGCCGACTACCTGCGGCGTCAGG